GAAGTGGTCAGCCTCTAAATCCATGGTAGGAAGTGGTCAGCCCCTCAAGCCTTGGTAGGAAGTGGTCAGCCCCTAAATCCATGGTAGGAAGTGGTCAGCCCCTCAAGCCTTGGTAGGAAGTGGTCAGCCCCTCAAGCCTTGGTAGGAAGTGGTCAGCCCCTCAAGCCTTCATAGGAAGTGGTCAGCCCCTCAAGCCATGGTAGGAAGTGGTCAGCCCCTCAAGCCTTGGTAGGAAGTGGTCAGCCCCTCAAGCCTTGGTAGGAAGTGGTCAGCCCCTCAAGCCTTGGTAGGAAGTGGTCAGCCCCTCAAGACTTGGTAGGAAGTGGTCACTCCCTCAAGCCTTGGTAGGAAGTGGTCAGCCCCTCAAGCCTTGGTAGGAAGTGGTCAGCCCCTCAAGCCTTGGTAGGAAGTGGTCAGCCCCTCAAGCCTTGGTAGGAAGTGGTCAGCCCCTCAAGCCTTGGTAGGAAGTGGTCAGCCCCTTAAAACTGATCACTTCACAACTACTACAACTAATTCTGATGTCTTCAATGTTCAACTGGCATGTGTGTTATTCAGGAACTTGTCATATTTTTCAACATACTGGCTGTCTCCCACCTAGGCAGGGTGACCCAAAAAAGAAGAAACTTTGATCATCATTCACTCCATCACTGTCTTGCCCAAGGGGTTCCAATACTACAGTTCAAAACTGCAAATATCCACAGGTATTGTATACTACTGTCTTGTGGCTGTGTTAAGAGACCTATGTCCACTAATGTGGTGGTGCTCAGTTAATACTCTACATCCCTTCTCTAAGTTTTAACACATACATTTAACAGATACATTCTCCTTGAATCAACTCTTATACACAACATTCCTAACATTAGTGTTACCGTATTTCACGGCTTATAAGACTCGCTTTAGTTTCAATGGCTCAGCATCGGAGGTAACTGGGAGAGCTATAGCCCATCCCACATGCCAGACTTATAGCTCCCGTCACTGACCTTCAGTTTACAGGATGCAGGGTGGTTTTTGGAGACATTTTATGGAAAAAACGTGCATTTAATAAGCCGCAAAATACGGTAGCTCCTTTATTTCTGGTACATATATTCCTAGTACATATATTGTTAAGTGTTTTAATCCTCAGTACATACAATGCCAGTAATAATAATTCAGACCTGCCTTCATTATAAACAGTATAGAGCAGATTCATACTGTGTATTTGACGTTATAATTCAACTGAATGTTTTCTGGACGTACCTATCAACTCTCTTGAGTTAATGTAGTATTGCCTCTCAGTGCACTTGTATACAGCAGTGGGATAAAGTGCACTGCTCTACTTCCAACTGCCCAGAATTTGTTCTGTGTAATTTTGTAACAAGTGGATAAATATGGGTCACTTAACCCCTTGACTGTCGCAACCCCAAATCCTGAGGTGTCTCCTAGTGTCGCAAAATTTCCAAATAAAGAAAAAAAAAATTATTTTCTCTTATGAAATGATAGAGAATCTTTTCCCAAATGTAATGACACCAAAAGAACGAAATTTGATGGAAAACTGACGGAATTACACTCTCGCGAAGTTAGCAACCTTGGCGATATTCACAAATCGGTGATTTCACCCATTTTGAGCGCTATTTTCGGCTAATTGCATTGTTCCAGTCGACCAAACTCATAGCTATTTCTTTAGAACTCCATCTTTTCTATCGACTGAGTACAAGAAACTGCCCATTTACCAATTTCAACTACTCAATAACGTGGTCAGAAATTTGCAATTTGGCCAATTTCACGAAAATTAAAAAATATGCCAATTTCAAAATAAGGTCCAGAATGAACAATGCAGACATTCCTGGCTCTAAAATAACATTTTCTTTGTTCATCAGTCACGTCTCCAGGCCCCTCTGATATTACTCTTGCTTTCTATTTTGAATTTTTATTCAAACAAAAAATAGAAGATTTACTGTTATGCAGACTACTGCATTATTGTAATAATTGTATAAATAATATCAACATATTCATGACTGCATATTAGAATGGCTAGTTGGACATTTATTGGACAATGACATCATTTGTTTACTTTTGAACATGGGCAAAAATCAAACATTTCCCCTACTTTGAGCTCCATTTCCAGGTTCTTTTCATAGTAAAACCTATCAAAATCACCTCTATTTCTATAATATGTTTTCCATTCTATCAAATGAGACCAAGAAAATGAGAATACAACCATAAATACTATACAAAAATAGACCACAAAGTCGGCATTTTAATTAAAAAAAGCGATCAGTTTTTTTCTCATTATGCACTGCATGCTGCAGGATTTTTTTTATATGGTGCACACTGACCACACAGACCCATTCTCTCACATGTGGGCCTACCAGCTTTCTCCTGCTTGATTTGAAGTATATATTTATGAGTATATATACGTCCAACACGGTGGCTCATAAGATGTATATATACGACCGAAACAGTCAAAGGGTTAAAGATAAAGTGTGAGGGGGAAAAAACCCATATAGTATATTTTCTTGGAGACAGAAAAAAGTCACCATAAAAGATATTTGTCATCGTAATGGATGAGCAAAATCCAGCATAATGGTGTTACTTGGTGCCATCCACGGCCTCCCATCAGACATTGTTCCTGGTACAAAACTATATACAGTGGTCCCTCAATAATCGTCCGGCCTGAAAGTCGTCCATTTCGGAAATAGTCCTGTTTTTCGTCAAAATATTGGCTCGCAAATGGTCCGGTAACTCACTAATAGTCCTTCGTCCTGGACACGTACTCACGCTCTGAGCCGCCTCGGCCTTTCCTTCCCAGCCAGTGTGCCATTGTTTACCAGTGAGTGACGGTCCCCTCACATGCTCCTATGAAATATTTCATAATATTCCATTGATTTTAGTGCTTGCATGTGCTAAATAAGCTACCTTGGCTCCAAATAAAGCTTCTAGTGCCAGCCCTTTGGTAAAGAATGTGAGAAACACATAATTTATGAAAAAGTTTGTAGAAAAATACAAAGATGGTGGTGGTAGAGTGGAAGCAGTTGTGATAGTGGTTGATGAACATAAGAACATAAGAAATGAGGATCACTGCAGCAGGCCTGTTGGCCCATGCTCGGCAAGTCCTTTACAATTCATCCCACTAACGAAACATTTTCCCAACCCAGTCCTCAATGCTACCCAAGAAATAAGCTCTGATAACTCTATCTACTCATTTGGGACTTGCAAATGAGTGGACAGAGTTATCAGAGCTTATTTCTTGGGTAGCATTGAGGACTGGGTTGGGAAAATGTTTCGTTAGTGGGATGAATTGTAAAGGACTTGCCGAGCATGGGCCAACAGGCCTGCTGCAGTGATCCTCCTTTCTTATGTTCTTATGTTCATCAACCACTATCACAACTGCTTCCACTCTACCACCACCATCTTTGTATTTTTCTACAAACTTTTTCATAAATTATGTGTTTCTCACATTCTTTACCAAAGGGCTGGCACTAGAAGCTTTCTTTGGTGGTAGTGATGGTGGTAGAAGGTAGTAGTGATGGTGGTAGAAGGTAGTAGTGATGGTGGTAGAAAGTAGTAGTGATGGTGGTAACAGTTGTAATAGTGGTAGAAGGTCGTAGTGATGGTGGTAGTGGGTTCCTTCTTTAGTGATTCAGTGATTCTACCAACTCCTCCAATGTTGTTGGAGTTATATAAGGCTACAAAAACCACCGCTGCCTCAGCTGCTGCTTCACCACCATTATGGACGGCTTACACTCAGTGGCCCTTATATACCCAATAACAACACAACACCTCTCATGACATACGTAATGACTTATTTTATTCATTCTAGAGTATATTCCATGTTTCTATGTTATTAATATTGTTTATTATGTCATATTAGTTGAATTGTGATAGATAAATAAGCCATAGAGTTGATATTAGTGTCATATTCTCCAACAATAAACTTGCCATCCCTCCCTCACACAAACAAATAGCCAATAAGAACATAACAATGGAAGAACACTGCAGGTCTACTGGCCCATACAAGGCAGGTCCTTATCAAAATGACCTCCACCCAAAGCTACCCAACAATTTACTCCCGTACCCAATGACACAAATCAAACTCAGCTCCTCCAACTCGTATATTTGTCCAATCTCTTCTTAAAGCTACCCAAGGTTCTAGCCTCGATCACCCTACTGGTAAGTGTGATGTTAAATAAGAACTTAAGAAAGTAGGAACACTGCAACAGGCCTGCTGGCCCATACTAGGCCAGTCCTTCACAAATCCAACCCACTAACAGAACAAATGCTACCCAAGCAATAAGCTCAGGTGCAAATCCGACTCAAATCCAACCTCTCTCACTCGTGTATTTATCCAACCTAAATTTGAAACTACCCAATGTTTTAGCTTTGATCACCCTACTAGGTAGACCGTTCCACTCATCAACTACCCCTATTACCAATGTTCATTTATACATTTTATTAGTGCCCTAGAGTCCTTATGGAGGGGGATTCCCCTTCCAAATAATCTCTCTTCCCTCTCTCCTCCCTGTCTTCCATTCATCAACAACAGCCTTCAGTAAAGGTAACTGTCATGTTGAATGTTCATTCTTTTGTGCATGTAAATCTATCTTTTAGGTAAAAAAAAAAATTTTTGTTGATACTTCTGGGTGTCTGGAACGAATTAATTGGATTTACATTATTTCTTATGGGGAAAATTGATTTGAAAATCGTCCATTTCAATAATAGTCCCACTTCCAGGAACGGATTATGGACGATTATTGAGGGACCACTGTACTGGACAGCCAAAGATAATGTCTAAACATACAGATAACATTCTACACAGAGAACTACGTTGAAATCCATATATGAATTAATTCACTAATACGTAATGTTTCATTTCTATCAGTAATACACATTCTACATGATTGGTCAAGTTTACATACAAGATTCTTGTTATGAAGCACTAAGTGTTGATGGCCTAAATGAGCTTCGTACAGTTGCCATCGGCCTGGAATCACTTCATAACAAAATTACACCTTCAATATTACCTCTAAATCTGGTCGGATCATGGCTTCCAAAACATTAGGAATCATGTCGTATTCACATTCTAGCAGGAATTTCTCCTTGTCAAAGGTTGGGTCCATTTTACAGATTTCAGTGAGGGCTTCAGATAATTCTGTGCGCTGGAAGACTCCCCCAAATAATTCAGTGACCTGCAAAATTACAATTTGAGATGATTAGTTAAGATGTACGATACATCAATAACTTAGTTAAGATGTACGATACATCAATAACTTAGTTAAGATGTACGATACATCAATAACTTAGTTAAAGATGTACGATACATCAATAACTTAGTTAAGATGTGCGATACATCAATAACTTAGTTAAGATGTACGATACATCAATAACTTAGTTAAGATGTACGATACATCAATAACTTAGTTAAGATGTACGATACATCAATAACTTAGTTAAGATGTACGATACATCAATAACTTAGTTAAGATGTACGATACATCAATAACTTAGTTAAGATGTACGATACATCAATAACTTAGTTAAGATGTACGATACATCAATAACTTAGTTAAGATGTACGATACATCAATAACCCACAAAGAGCAGAAAGAAAATTATCATGACGTTTTTGCTCTGACTTCAAACATTAACTAGTTATAATTTTCCCTCTATGTGTTATCCATGTATTGTTCCAGTCACAGTATTGTTCCAGTCACAGTATTGTTCCAGTCACAGTATTGTTCCAGTCACAGTATTGTTCCAGTCACAGTATTGTTCCAGTCACAGTATGTTCCAGTCACAGAAATTGTTCCAGTCACAGTATTGTTCCAGTCACAGTATTGTTCCAGTCACAGTATTGTTCCAGTCACAGTATTGTCTTTATTCTTTAAGATGTGCTATGATCAAGAATCTGTTACCTGTTAATGGTTTTGGGGAGTATGCTTCCCTACAGTCTGGTCTCAGACCAGACCTCCTAACAGTCTGGTCTCAGACCAGACCTCCCTACAGTCTGGTCTCAGACCAGACCTCCTAACAGTCTGGTCTCAGACCAGACCTCCTAACAGTGTGGTCTCAGACCAGACCTCCTAACAGTCTGGTCTCAGACCAGACTCCTAACAGTGTGGTCTCAGACCAGACCTCCTAACAGTCTGGTCTCAGACCAGACCTCCTAACAGTCTGGTCTCAGACCAGACCTCCTAACAGTCTGGTCTCAGACCAGACCTCCTAACAGTCTGGTCTCAGACCAGACCTCCTAACAGTCTGGTCTCAGACCAGACCTCCTAACAGTCTGGTCTCAGACCAGACCTCCTAAGCTGGGATTATCTTCACATCAAGATGTATATAACTGGTGCTTGGCAGATGAATTATCTCTATAATACTGTACTAAAGTTAAAATTGTTATTTTACTCACATTAAGGATAACATTAACATCAATATTACTCTCTACAGGGATATCTATCATACTTTTTTTCCCCAACAAACTGGCCATATCCCACTGAAGCAAGGCGACCGAAAAAGAAAATTTTTTTTTTTTTTAACCCTTCAACGGTCCAAACAGATCGACGTTCAAATTCATAATGCTCCAAAAGCAGATCTATTTTTTTTTACATATTTTCAAATATAACAAAAAAAAATGTAGATAAAAGTTTTTTTTACACATTTTCAAATGTAAAACAAAAAAGATCTACATTTTTTACATACTTTCAGATGTTGCAAAAAACGTATATATACGCTTGGACCATTTAAGGGTTAAATTTAGTAATGTATACAGGAGAAGGGGGTTACTAGCCCCTTGTTCCCGGCACTTTAGTCACCTCTGACGACAAGCATGGCTTACAGGGGAAGGATTCTGTTCCATTCTTCCATGGAGAATCATCATACATATGTTGGCTTTATACAATGTAATACTGGTACTGTACACTACCAGTAGCACATTGTATAAGTACTTTTCTGTACTTTTAAGTACTTATAAATACTGATATCACTGTGTGACACTGGTCTAGCTTTGAAAACTAAAATTAATTTATTACAAAATCTAGTCGTATCTCCAGCCATTTAACTTATTTTTGGTGCCATAATACAATAAATACATTCTTAGTAAACCAATGTAGATACAGTATATCACCGATTCTCCAGCAGCTTATTAAGCACGAAACATTTTCTAGCTGTCGTATTCATTCTGCCACATAAATGTTTTTTTTTTTTTTCAACAAGTCGGTTGTCTCCCACCGAGGCAGGGTGACCCACCGAGGCAGGGTGACCCACCGAGGCAGGGTGACCCACCGAGGCAGGGTGACCCAAAAAAGAAAGAAAATCCCCAAAAAGAAAATACTTCCATCATCATTCAACACTTTCACCACACTCACACATTATCACTGTTTTTGCAGAGGTGCTCAGAATACAACAGTTTAGAAGCATATACGTATAAAGATACACAACATATCCCTCCAAACTGCTAATATCCCGAACACCTCCTTTAAAGTGCAGGCATTGTACTTCCCATTTCCAGGACTCAAGTCCGACTATAAGAAAACAACCGGTTTCCCTGAATCCCTTCACTAAATATTACCCTGCTCACACTCCAACAGATCGTCAGGTCCCAAGTTTCCATTCGTCTCCATTCACTCCTATCTAACACGCTCACGCACGCTTGCTGGAAGTCCAAGCCCCTTGCCCACAAAACCTCCTTTACCCCCTCTCTCCAACCCTTTCGAGGACGACCCCTACCCCAACTTCCTTCCCCTATAGATTTATATGCTTTCCATGTCATTCTACTTTGATCCATTCTCTCTAAATGACCAAACCACCTCAACAACCCCTCTTCTGCCCTCTGACTAATACTTTTATTAACTCCACACCTTTTCCTAATTTCCACACTCCGAATTTTCTGCATAATATTTACACCACACATTGCCCTTAAACAGGACATCTCCACTGCCTCCAACCGTCTCCTCGCTGCTGCATTTACCACCCAAGCTTCACACCCATATAAGAGTGTTGATACTACTATACTTTCATACATTCCCTTCTTTGCCTCCATAGATAATGTTTTTTGACTCCACACATACCTCAACGCGCCACTCACCTAAATGTACTGCAGGAAATTAATGTGAACAACATGTGTGTACGTATATTATTATTATTATAATCAAAAAGCACTGAACCTACAAGGGTCATACAGAACAAGCGTGTATTAAATAATTTTATGCGGTGGTGTTGATAGTTTGACAAACTACACTGCCTGACTATCACATTTTACACTGCCTGACTATCACATTTTACACTGCCTGACTATCACATTTTACACTGCCTAACCATCATGTTCTATACTGCTTAACTTTATCACGTTCTACACTGCCTATCATATTATGTTAAGTTACATTCTACAGTATTACTACAATATGGCCTCTCCTTGTTTAGCAACGTACTCGTTTACCGACGATTCAAATTTACGACGGCGTCTCTGAGCAGTTTGTATACCTAAATAATGTATATTAGAGCTGATTTCCTCTATTTTGTTTATTACAATATACAGTACACTGCTGTATAAACATTTAAAAATATACTAAAAATGTTATAAATGGTACAAAGGCGACATTAAAACAATATCAAAGATGGTTGTATATTATGCTCCTCAGTGACAAATTTGTTTACCGATGTGGTCGTAGGAATGGAACTTCGTCGTTAAGTGAGGAGAGGCCGTATATAAGACCATTGCAAAAATTTAAACTTACATTTGAATCTTAAATAAGCATATTTAATCCTTAAACTGTCCAAACATAGATCTACGTTTGTACGTGTAGCGCTCCGACCTTGATTTTCTCCATAAGAATGTAAAAAAAAACATAGATATATGTTCAGAGCACTATGCGAGCAAACGTAGATCTACGTTTGGGCAGTTTAAGGATTAATAACATAGTGCATTTTGTAAATAAGTTTCCAAAGATTCTATTTTAAATACTTATAATCATAATCCAACCTTAAGTAATAACTGACTTTTTTTTTTCTTGAAATTCATAAATTTATTGTTTACAAACTCTTAATGTCCTTGTATATAAGCAATTAATTAGTTATTGCCATTTTAGTCTTCAGTTTGGCCAAAATGTTCTGCAATAACTATGGGGTTGCAACATGCGTAACTAAATGTCAATCATCACATTGTATCATGCTGAAATATTATTTTTATTATCACACTGGCCGATTCCCACCAAGGCAGGGTGGCCCGAAAAAGAAAATATTATTATTATTATTATTATTATTAATATTATTATTCTTTCTATGCGCTGGCAGTATCCCACCCAGGGAGGGTGACCCAAAAAGAAAAACAAAAGTTTCTCTTTTTAACTTTAGTAATGTATACAGGAGAAGGGGTTACTAGCCCCTTGCTCCCGGCATTTTAGTCGCCTCTTACAACACGCATGGCTTATGGAGGAAGAATTCTGTTCCACTTCCCCATGGAGGTAAGAGGAAATAAACAAGAAGAAGAACTACTAAGAAAATAGGAGAAAACCCAGAGAGGTGTGTATATATATATGCTTGTACATGTATGTGTAGTGTGACCTAAGTGTAAGTAGAAGTAGCAAGACATACCTGAAATATTGCTTGTTTATGAGACAGAAAAAAGAAGACACCAGCAATCCTACCATCATGCAAAACAATTACAGGCTTTCGTTTTACACTCACTTGGCAGGACGGTAGTACCTCCCTGGGCGGTTACTGTCTACCAACCTACTACCTAGGATTATTATTATTATATTATTATAATAATAGAGAGGTGCTGCCACATACCTTATCCTTGACGAGAGCGGAGGCTCGTACAATGGGATTATCACTCTCGTCTAACTTAGTTTTCCACACCAGTAGTCGGTTAATGTAAGCATTATTGTCTCGGAAGTTTTGCCAACTTTGAGCGAACTGGGAATCCTTGTGAAGCGTTACACCTCTTGCCTCAGTATTGGCCTGCAATGTTACCACTATGTAGTATTGTTAATGTTACCACTATTATTGTCAATGTTATCACTATTATTTTACTCAGGAATGAATGACTTACATTGTAAATATTTCTTCTTGGCCACTTTTAATACACCAATTATCTCCCACCAGTGTGTGAGACCCAAAAGAAAAGAGAAAACATATTCACCATCACTCAGTCAATTACCGTCTCAATAGAAGTGTGCTGACATAACAGTTCAAACAGTTGTCAGAGGAGCAAGACTGCCACAACTCCTTCAGAGTGTAAGCACTGTATTTCCCACCCTCCAGGACTCAAGTCCAGCTACTTGGTTTCTCGAATCCCTTAATAAATGTTGTGTTGCTCACACTCCAACAGCATTTCAAGTCATAAAATCCATTTGGTTCCACACACTCCTATCTAACGTGCTCAGGCACACTTGCTGAAAATCAAAGCCCCTTGCACACAAAACCTCCTTTACTCCCTCCCACCAACCTCCTCTCCACTCACTCTACTATGACATACTCACACCTGATTAATTACTATCTTTCGAAGTAAAAGTCCAATGATTAATTTTATGCGCCAAATACACACAAATACCTGAATAATTCTTTTTTCAGCTTCTGGATCTCGTTCCACTCGCTTACGTAAGGTGACTGGAGCTCTGTAGACTCTCGCTCCGGCTCCGCCAAAAGTGGAATGATCAATTTCTTCTTTGACTGCCTTAGCTGTGTCCGAGATAGTTTTGTAAGTCTGTGTTTTGCTAAGTTCCTCACTCTTCTGGGAGATTGTCTGGCCAACTTTCTGTGCTTGTTTAGTGGCCTCTTCAGTAAGTTTGGCTGGAAAGATATTAAACAAGAATGTACATATTTTCTTCTTTCTCTTTCAACTTTAGTAATGTATACAGGAGAAGGGGTTACTAGCCCCTTGCTCCCAGTATTTTAGTCGCCTCTTATGACACGCATGGCTTATGGAGGAAGAATTCTGTTGCACTTCTCAATGGAGATAAGCAGAAATAAACAAGAACTAGAAAGAAGGTGTGTATATATATGCTTGTACATATATGTGTAGTGTGACCTAAGTGTAAGTAGAAGTAGCAAGATGTACCTGAAACCTTGCATGTTTATGAGACAGAAAAAAGACACCAGCAATCTTACTATCATGTAAAAATTACAGGTTTTTGTTTTACTTTCACATACTTTTACTCTGTCATAAATTAGCATTACAATAATATTATATTCATGGGAAAACAAGAAACCAAAAAGTGACATACATCATCTAGGGAATGGGAGGCAGTGAGAGTTGAGGAATGGGAGACTACAGGTGATCATTGACTTACAATGGTTCAACTTGAATATTTCATCAGCTTTACCATGGTGCAAGAGGAATTACTTTGCAGATAAATGTTTTTTTTATTAACACATCAGCCATCTCACACCAAGGCACAGTGGCCCAAAAAAGAAAAACTTTCATCATTCACTCCATCACTGTCTTGCCAGAGGCACACAGTACAGTTATAAAACTGCAGTACAGTTATAAAACTGCAACATTAACACCCCTCCTTCAGAGTGCCGGCACTGTGCTTCCCACCTCCAGGACTCAAGTCCGACCTGCCAGTTTCCCTGAATCCCGTCATAAATATTGCCTCGCTCACACTCCAACAGCAGATAAAACTTAAGATAACTACCCATAACTTGTATCCATTTATTTAATTTTCAATACTTCTAGTTACATCAACTGTTTATTTACTTATTCAGTAACTGTAGCATTTTAATTATTAATCATATATTCATATTCAACTAGCGATATTTTCAATTTCCAACGGGTTCGTTGGAACGTAACCTCACGGTAAGTCAAGGAGCACCTGCTAGTTAGAATTCCTTGGATCAAAACACCATCACTAGCATTCCTCTACCAGTCACTGGAACAACTAACTTTTTTCCATCTGTAAAAAAGTTCTTTCAATAGCTAGAAGATGAGTTATGTCACAAATTAAAGAAATGCAGTTTACTAACAGGCTTTCTGAAGAATTTCTGCTTTTTGAGCTTCCTCTACAGTTCGCTTTTATCTGCGCTGCACTTCTGCTTTTTTCTATGGTATAAAAAACAAAATGGTTGTCCTGGAAAGTTTACGTGCCTTCTGCGGTCTCTTCCCACAGTGTGATACTTTTCTCTCTGAATACAAAACAAAAATGAAAATTAGAGTTTTTTACTGGAAAGGTAAAACAGCAGTTTTTACCCTAAAGTTAAAATACAGTTGCCACCCAGAAGGTACAATAACTTTGTATCTGTCACTCCTGAAAGGTCAGTATGACAAAATGCATGAATCTAATGATTATCAATGTTTGTTCCATAATGCAGAAAACGCATTTCTATATCAATTCCATACTGTTTTTGTCTCACAGTCCAGTATTACAGACATCTTACAGATATAATTACAGATAATCCTCACTAAATGACTGTTCATTATACAGCGGGACCCCTGTATCCACAGGGATACATTCCAGGGACCTGCTGGGGATACTAAATCCTGGACAGTGGCAAACCTTATATATACGTCCTATTATAAAGTTTAATTGATAAATTATACACAATAAGTGGGGAATTATCATTTTTTCACTGATAGGAAGCACTTGACGGCTTCTCTTTGGCTTTGAACAACTGCCAGCTTCTCTACTTTTGCACTTTGGGGCCATTATTATCCAAAATTAAGAGGCATAATTGGGTCACAGTAAATAGTGGATAACCGAAACCATGGACACCGAAACAGTGGATATGGGGGTTCTACTAGATAATATTTCAATTGTGAAATGCAAAGTTTGTGTGGGTCATTAAGGAGTTTCAAAGGCTTTATCCTCCATGCACTAATAACCAGACACAAACTTTCCCCATTACAGGAGTCCCCCCTAGTATCCACGGATGATAAGTTGCAAGACCTGCTGAGACTACCTGAAACCCAGGAGTCCCCCCTGGTATCCATGGATGATAAGTTGCAAGACCTGCTGAGACTACCTGAAACCCAGGAGTCCCCCCTGGTATCCATGGATGATAAGTTGCAAGACCTGCTGAGACTACCTGAAACCCAGGAGTCCCCCCTGGTATCCATGGATGATAAGTTGCAAGACCTGCTGAGACTACCTGAAACCCAGGAGTCCCCCCTGGTATCCACGGATGATAAGTTGCAAGACCTGCTGAGACTACCGGAAATCCAGGAGTCCCCCCTGGCATCCATGGACGATAAGTTGCAAGACCTGCTGAGACTACCGGAAATCCAGGAGTCCCCCCTGGCATCCATGGATGATAAGTTGCAAGACCTGCTGAGACTACCGGAAATCCAGGAGTCCCCCCTGGTATCCATGGATGATAAGTTGCAAGACCTGCTGAGACCCCCAGAAACCCAGGAGTCCCCCCTGGTATCCACGGATGATAAGTTGCAAGACCTGCTGAGACTACCTGAAACCCAGGATGGTATACAACACTTTATGTAAGTTATTTTTCACTAACATACATCCCTATGATAAAATTTAATTAATAAATTATACACAATAAGACATTACTAACATTAAATAATAAAATACATTGTACATTATCATATTTGTGCTCTCTCTCTCTCTCTCCCCCCTCTCCCCCTCTCTTTCTCTCCCCTCCCACTCTCTTTCCCTTCTCTCCCTCTCTCCCCCACTCTCTTTCCCTCCCCTCCCTCTCTCCCCCTCTCTTTTTTTTCTCTCCTCCCTCTCTAATACATGGGATTCTAACATCATAGCTTAACCCTCAAGGGACAATGGAACAATGAAAAATATTTTGTACACACACACACAGCTTAAACACGTTACATTTTTAAGATGGTTTTGCCACATTATTCAGAATGGCCCACAATTTGAAACTTGTGAATCATTTATTTCTTGAATTTTCCATTTAATATTTTTGGGTCGTGGTAAACCGGAGATGACTGAACCTGCGGAAAGCAAATCCAGATACGAATGGGGGTTCTACTGTATATAAGTGACACAGGGTGGGGGTTCTACCAAATATAACTGACACACAGCAGGGTTTCTACTGCATATTAAAACTGATGCAGGGCAGGGGTTCTACTCTATATGATAACTTATTGACTCATGAAGTCGTAATCCCGCCACAATGATGGGAGATTCATCTGAAAAAACTTGCATTTGTGGTTGCAGTGGTGGCCTGTGCCAACCTCCCTATGGTGTATAAGTATACCTAGTTGGATGAATCTTACTGTAGCCAGCTGGCACAGTGGCTTACGCGCTGGCCCAGTGGCTTACGCGCTGGCCCAGTGGCTTACGCGCTGGCCCAGTGGCTTACGCGCTGGCCCAGTGGCTTACGCACTGGCCTGGAGTTTTATGACTCCCTCGCCATGAGTTCAATCCCTGCCTGTGGTATGGTTTGGTTCAATAAAACTTATTTCTTGGATTGGGAAATTGTATAATTCAGAATAATGTTAGTCTCAAGCATTTCATCTTAACACTGATCATAACCGCTCATTCTGCCATGTGCAGAATGCGTGGTCGTGTGTCCCAGCCAGAAGAGAAAGGCAGGAAACAAAGGAGATAATGAAAACTTGACAATAAGGAGTACAATCGTCCCTTTAAACTTTGACTATCTATGATTTACACTGAAGTGCAACCAAAACGGGTGCAGTTTCAACCCATGGCCAGTGAGACCTAAAACTCCAGGCCAGTGTGTTAACCACTGCACCAACTGGCTACAATAAGAGTCATTCAACTAAGTACATTTCTATACACCCTAACAGAGAGGTTAGCATGGGACCCAGCCGGTCCCTGATGCTTTTATAATTCTCTTATTACAATTTTGTCAACCAGCTAAGAGCTTCAATTTTGTGATCTAATAGGTTCAATTTAGTGAACCAATTAATAGGATCAATTTTGTGAACCTAAAGGTCAATCTGGAATCAGCTAAAGGTTCAATTTTGTGAACTATAGCTCAATTTTGTGACAACTAATAGGTTAAATTTAGTGAACCAACTAATAGGTTCAATTTTCCATCTTGTTTGATTCATGACTTTTTCCACACTAAATTTTGGTTTCTTCTGGCAATTATTTCTGAAGATATCAATATTAACCAGATTAGTGATATATTACAGTGATAAACTCCATCAAATATAAAATAAAGAAAACTGAAACAAAACTTATTCTGGGAACTTAATGTTGAAATACTCAAGGTTTCAAATTGATGAAGGTTAAATATATGAAAGATTGCAGAGATGTAAACATGAAGTTGGATCTTAACCCGCACCGCACAAATAACCAGCACATGGGAGATTGACCCTTATGACAATGTTCTGGACCATTAACAAGTGTGTAACTTGTTAATAGTCCAAGTTAATAATAATAAATAATAATAATAATGATATTTTATTTTAACATGATATACGTTTTTACAAGTTGAACTGAAATGCACATCGATGTAATCTTTCTCCTATGTGCGGGTTAGTTGTGTATTGTTCCAGTCACGGCACTGCACCTTCTTATTCTTTTCAAACCCACATAGCAGAACCAGAGCTGGAGCTCAACTCATCAAAGATTACAAACCTGACTTTCTGTAGCGCTTCAGACTTCTCCAGTTTCTGCATATCTTTTCTGAACTCTTTTATACTTTCTTTCATCTTCTGATTTCTGGTCATCTCTTCTCTTAAATTTTCGATGATCTTGCCGAAGAAGGTTGGCGGCCGTTGAGGCGGCGGTGTAGCGCTGTAACATCTTTCTACCTGAATATTAAATACCATCAATAACTAAAGTGCAATGAACATTTGTCAATGTTCAATAATAACCCACCTGGAGACACAAACTCGGGAGATTAATTAATGTGTATAGTACAAGTGCCATTCGACTTATGACCGAGCTTGGTTCTGACGAACTGGTCACGAGTCAAAATGGACACAAGTCGAACCTTAGAAAATTGCCGACATACTGGGCAGGGCATAATGTCAAATCTTTGCTATATAAAGTACCTACACAGTATCATATGTTACTTTTTACTAAATATTTTACTACTGTATATGCTGCCAGATGTACAGTCATAAGTGCGAGCGGTAGTATGTCAAGCAGGTCGGAAGTCAGATGGTACTTGTATTTTGACTCCTGGGATCCTCTTCAACAGAAGAGGATCCCAGAAGAGGGTTGAAATATACACACCAATTAATCCCCAGAGTTTGTTTCCACGTGGGTTATTACTGAGCATTAACGTTTGAAATGCCAAACACAATCTGGGAGGGTGAGAGTGTCTCAATATTATTATTATATTTATCTGAGGCACTCAACTTGTTCCGGGCGTTCAACACAAGGAGTGGTGGAGCCTCCAACCCTCGTTCAGTCTGTGTCATTCAACACAAGGAGTGGTGGAGCCTCCAACCCTCGTTCAGTCTGTGTCATTCAACACAAGGAGTGGTGGAGCCTCCAACCCTCGTTCAGTCTGTGTTGTTGAGCACAAGGAGTGGTGGAGCCTCCAACCCTCGTTCAGTCATCAACAAACAACACATCCACTTCATTGGTGTTACACAGGAGAGGAGCCTAATGTTAGATAACAAAACAGAATATGGAAGATACATAAAGAGGGAGAATATAGACAATACAGAGAGGGAGAATATGGAAGATACATAGAGGGAGAATATGGAAGATACATAGAGGGAGAATATGGAAGATACATAGAGGGAGAATATGGAAGATACATAAGGAGAATATCTCATTGAAATTGGGTGAGGTGAGATAGGGAACTGATAGTAAATATAGATCTAGAGACTATGGGATCCCTACGTATGGACAGATGACAAAGGGAGATCTGGCGATACCTGGCGCAATGTATGGGATACCGAAAATATGTCATAGAAAATATGGCAACACTGATATGAAGAACAAGAAGGAATATGAAATACAGAAGACTTGGGTGATTACTAAGTATGAAGATACTAGTAGTATTCTCATTGAATATTGTGGGTGGCTGTAGACGAACACCTGGCCTCATATGCTAGCTCTGTCCACCTGGTTCAGTAACCCCGCAGCGATAACACTGGCGTGTTGAC